AATTCCTTATGTTCACTATTATTAAGACGACAAGCACAAAATTCCTTTGTAGGTTCTCATTACTTTAGATGATATGTACTCTCCTACAGAATGCACCGGTGCCCATGATAAAGATAAAACCTTCTTTAGTTCCCTAACTTCCTTGCTACACAAGAACACTTTTTATTTTCGTCCATTCAGAGTCCACTGGAGTTAAGAACCAGAGTCCTAGTTCCCGTCACCCCCATTATCCTGGAACCCCGTGTCTTTAAATATTCTTATTCCTTTACCTTTCAATAGTCTTTTACGGGAGGCTGTTAAAACTTTAGCTTTTGTAAATTCGATAGGCTGATCGTGGGCGTATACCGTTTTTATAAGTGATGAGTGAGAAATAACAGAAAAATACCTTTGACATAATCTAGAAACGTTTGCTTTTAGAATGTACTTGACATGTACTGCGGACCCTTTGCAGGCCAACAAGACAGCTCAAGCTCTATAGCCAATGAGGTCTACTGTGAAGAATTGCAAATATGTCGTGCACTTATTTATACAACAAACAGGCTAATATTGCATTAATATACGCCACATCCTATTGGGTCATTTGAGTCATTCGGGTAATTTGAGTAGCCAAAAGGACGGTTAAACTCTTTGAATTGATCATTCTAATTATTAAGAAGATCATTCTGATCAATTCAGAGAGCACAAAATTCCTTTGTAGGTTCTCATTACTTTAGATGATATGTACTCTCCTACAGAATGCACCGGTGCCCATGATAAAGATAAAACCTTCTTTAGTTCCCTAACTTCCTTGCTACACAAGAACACTTTTTATTTTCGTCCATTCAGAGTCCACTGGAGTTAAGAACCAGAGTCCTAGTTCCCGTCACCCCCATTATCCTGGAACCCCGTGTCTTTAAATATTCTTATTCCTTTACCTTTCAATAGTCTTTTACGGGAGGCTGTTAAAACTTTAGCTTTTGTAAATTCGATAGGCTGATCGTGGGCGTATACCGTTTTTTATAAGTGATGAGTGAGAAATAACAGAACAATACCTTTGACATAATCTAGAAACGTTTGCTTTTAGAATGTACTTGAAATGTACTGCGGACCCTTTGCAGGCCAACAAGACAGCTCAAGCTCTATAGCCAATGAGGTCTACTGTGAAGAATTGCAAATATGTCGTGCACTTATTTATACAACAAACAGGCTAATATTGCATTAATATACGCCACATCCTATTGGGTCATTTGAGTCATTCGGGTAATTTGAGTTTCCCAAAAGGACGGTTAAACTCTTTGAATTGATCATTCTAATTATTAAGAAGATCATTCTGATCAATTCAGAGAGCACAAATCCTATTGGGTCATTCCTTTGTAGGTTCTCATTACATTAGATGATATGTACTCACAAAATCCTTTGTAGGTTCTCATTACTTTAGATGATATGTACTCTCCTACAGAATGCACCGGTGCCCATGATAAAGATAAAACCTTCTTTAGTTCCCTAACTTCCTTGCTACACAAGAACACTTTTTATTTTTCGTCCATTCAGAGTCCACTGGAGTTAAGAACCAGAGTCCTAGTTCCCGTCACCCCCATTATCCTGGAACCCCGTGTCTTTAAATATTCTTATTCCTTTACCTTTCAATAGTCTTTTACGGGAGGCTGTTAAAACTTTAGCTTTTGTAAATTCGATAGGCTGATCGTGGGCGTATACCGTTTTTATAAGTGATGAGTGAGAAATAACAGAACAATACCTTTGACATAATCTAGAAACGTTTGCTTTTAGAATGTACTTGAAATGTACTGCGGACCCTTTGCAGGCCAACAAGACAGCTCAAGCTCTATAGCCAATGAGGTCTACTGTGAAGAATTGCAAATATGTCGTGCACTTATTTATACAACAAACAGGCTAATATTGCATTAATATACGCCACATCCTATTGGGTCATTTGAGTCATTCGGGTAATTTGAGTTCCCAAAAGGACGGTTAAACTCTTTGAATTGATCATTCTAATTATTAAGAAGATCATTCTGATCAATTCAGAGAGTTTAACCATCCTTTTAGCGACTTAAATAACATTTGAAAAGCCATTTGACGGCTGATAAGTTAACTTCTACGATGATCAGTGTTTCAGACACCGGGCGTAAGTCATTCCGAAATATCTGTGGCAATAAACAAGAAAGTGTTTATTGCCTCATAGAGTATTTGTGTATATGTAAAGTTTTCACCTACTACGGTTGAAAAACTTTATCTGGCTGACACCTTGTAGAAATATTTTCCTAAACTAACATAAAAGACCAAGTAGAAATAATCTTTTTCTTAGGATAAAGTTTTATAAACATAAATTTGCGAAACAATAATCTGTGTATCACAAAAATTGTTGTCCCGTGTGGGAATCGTACCCACGACCCCCGACGCCGAAGCCAATAATACCTCGGCAACTTCACCACGCAGTCACCACAATGACGTAACAATCCGACAAAAGCCGCTACCTAAGTCGTGCAAAGTTTATTATTCCTAATTAAGTCTTTCTGCTTTTTCAGACTTTACATGAAACATTCTCTCATCAATTCTAAACTTATAATTCCTGCAATCAGCCTCGCAATTAAAGCATTAAATTACAAAGCGTTTTAATTTAGCTTTCCACTCTAAAAACAGTTCACAAAGCAAGCTTGACCTAAGTTTAACTAACTGCTGCAACAAATTGAACACGTCTCTTTGATTAGTAACCTTTCTGACTAATTACAAATTTACATTTAAATGCTAAGTCTTTGAATAAACTCATGAATGCTAATGTTATCATACATTATATAGTGACAATGTTTGAATTATTTCAAAGCTCCCGTTGTGATTGTGTAACTGTGTGTTTTAAATAATAGGTCGACGACAAATCTTTTCGTATTCTGTGTGTGACAACTTGAAAAAAAGATCCTGGTCAAAGGGCGTCAAGATCTGGGAGTCTCTGAGACTGGATTAACACGCAATCCTGGGTGTATAGTGGAATTGGAAGGACATTGTTCGTTATGAACTTTTCCCGCGGGCTAAAACCATCCATTCGGATCTCTAGTGCCAACAGCTGGTGAGATTCAAGCTAGAAATTGAAAACCTAGAGAGAATTTCAATTGGATTCAAGATTCTGGCGTTATCATGAGATGAGTAGAGCTCTCATGATAACGCCAAATCACAAACATTGGCCACTCAGCAAAAATTGAGTTCGCTAACCTCAGATTTTAACCTGTTTCGGTCTCTTCAAAATTCTTTGAGTAGTGTAAGGTTAGCATCGAGAAATACCTAAATTTCTACAAAGAGATTATATCACTACCTACAAGATGGCAACAAGTTATCAAACCAAATAACACATACTTTTTTTAATGTGATATAAGGTGGCCAGCGAGCTGACGGTTCACCTGATGTTAGGTGATAACCGCTGCCCATGGACACTTGCAACATCGGCAGGGTTGCAGATGCGTTGCCACCTATTAATAAAGTGGGCCCCGGCTACCTCACCCACCAGAAGTATAACACTTCCACTTCCCGCTGGTCTTCTGTGAGGTCGTGGTACTTATCCGGTAAGACCTGCCTATTCATGCAACAATGAATAATGTTGCGTGGCCCTACCACCGTAGAATATTATCTAATAAGCATACGGTTTCATTGTAGTACAGTAAAAGAAAGCATGGTAATAAAATTCTTTTACACAACAATACAATTGAAAATTAATTATAATCGGTTTACGTATCCAATATAAGCTTATAATTTTACAAAAGATTCATTCGAATTTCTCTGTCTTATGAAATTTACTCTGACTACAACAAAAAAGTTTATCCTCTTATCTTATTCTGTCTATTGATGATTGCGGTTTGAACTCATTCTAATTTAGTGATGTTTCATAGTAATTTTTACAAATTTCAATCACTTGTTTCCAGAGCCACTTAAAACCTGTAAACCTGAAGATTTGGAGAAGTCTTAGTTTACTACGGCTCACTTTATTTTACTAAGTTATGAAGAAAGCGTTAATAAAAATTGTAATTTTTAAACTTTGCTAATTACTGCCCGACGAAAAAATTCGGTAACGATGCGCTCATTCCACAGCCAACGAACCTTAATTGAAACTTGAAAACAATTCGTTTTAATTATTCAACTCATTTCGCATTATCTAAGAGGTTATTCGTTGAGAAAATAATTATTGTTATGTAAACAATAAAAATTCAGGCAGTTTTAAATTCCTTAACGTGGCAGCCTGTTATTACACATCGTACAAAGTTGTATGGCAGCTATTAAAAATCCCTCTTTAATAGTTATGCAAATTTCTCCGATTTTAGAGCATCAGTACCATACTAGAAAATAGGTTCGTTGGAGATCAAATTCTGCTTTGCTCGCATAAACGAGCCGCCTCTCAGTGGAAGTGCATATCTTAAGCATAAAAAGGCATGGGTATAGATGTCCCCTACATACAGTCAGGTGGTCAACACAAGTGCAGTCTTTTAGGTATTGTAGTCCATGATCTGCCCGAAAAGTCCATTCGAAAGCGCGATGATAATAACCTTTGTTAGGGTGGAGCAATCCGTATTGGATACATAGATATAGCCAGGTGATGTTGGACATGCACCGATTAAAATCCCACGGTGGTCACCATTTACGGCCTAATGCATCATTGACGGGATCTCCTATTCGGAAAACTAGGGCCCCATTGTCTTGGCGAATTTAGCCTCGTCTCGAGAGCAGTATCATGCTGCCCGCAGTACTTCCACGGCGCTAGTAATGGCTAGTAATGGCTCGAAACGAACCCCAGCCACAAATTTCTTAAGGCGTTGCAACTCGCAAACTCTAGGGGCCATTTCTGGTGGGGCACCATTAAAATTTGTATTGCCATGAAAAATATCCCCCGCCACCTCGGTGGCCCCACTTCCAATTCAGGCTGAGGGAAGGCAGACCCCGCCTTCCCTCGACCCCTCCCTCCATCTGGACCATAACGATCTCACAGACGGAGGCTACATCTCTCCACAATCATTGTCGAAATGACAGTTGGTAGAGAGACGGTGTCGCTCATCAGGATACTCCACTCCACTTCCCATGCTGAGCACAATGCCAGCATACGTCATACGGAGTCCCGCTTTCTCCTACCACAGCAGATGCAATTTGTCGTCTCACGTCAGATCCTCACATACCTGTGTGGAATCGGCAGTGAGACGACGGCAGGAAAGGTAGACTCAACGATCGGTGAGTCTACCTTTTCATCGCTGCATCCATTCTTTGGAGATCGGCACGATAGCTTCGATGACACGTTTGCGCGTGTATTGCTCTTGTCAGAGCCTGTAGTTTGTTGGTGCGCCTCTTCGGGTTAGCCACCACCACTCCGATGAAGAGAGTTGTACAACTTTGCATCCATTTCCGCCAGTGGCCAGTACAAGTGGAAAGTAAACACAGTTACTTAGTTGTTAAGTAAGGACAGTTGCTGCCCCAAAGGATATGGATGAATATACTCATACAATCCGTATGGTATCTGGATACTCAAGATAATAGATTTAAAGCGCTAGATAGCAAGTTTACTCAACCATACCGGTAACCCACATAAGACTATGGATAGAAAAACTCCTATATTAAAGCGACAAACTTCTTCCAACACCTCCCCGAGATTTGGTAGAAATCTGTGCATTGCACCTGCTACTCTCTCCTTCTGTGGGCCTAGGCGCTCGTGGTGTTCTTCGAAGCCCCTGCGATTATCAAGGTGCAGACCCAGGTACTTATTAAACCATCTCACTCCTACTAATTATAAGCTAAACCCCAGTACAACCACTCCCGATTGTGCCAGACCAAGGGACAAAGCACTCCTCACCTCGGCCCCCCCGCCTGCGTACTCTGCCAGTCGGAAGGACACACGGCCAACTACCTAGGTTGCCCCAAAGCGCCAAAGCGCAAACCCTTTAAACCTGCCACTCAGGCAGTTAGAAGGCCGCCGGTTCCTACGGCTGCCTCTTTTCCTCCATTGCGCCCCGCATGGCAGAACCCTATGGCCCCCGCATGGGCCAAACCAAACCCGCGCATTGCAGAAGCAATGTTTCCACAACCCACCGCGCAACCAACACTCGTCCCGCCCAGCCCTGCGGCCGGAGGTAACCCCTTCGAGTCACTCACAAGGCTCGCCCGTACCGTCAATATGACGGAATTCATGACTTTTGCGGAACAGTACGCAAAAGCAGACCTACATACTAGGATCGAACTCGTGTGTAGGTATGCGCACATCGTGTGTGCACTCTCCTCTTAGGCTCCTCAATGGCTACTACAACTAAAAGTAATACCACCGCGAATGTCAGTCCCTCTGCTACGCGTAATAACGGCAGAGCTAAACCGCGATCGATTAACGTAGCCTTCTACAACGCGAACGGGTTAAAAGAACAGCGCGACGAAATACGTATTTTCTTACGCGACCACCAAATCGATATACTTCTTATTCAGGAGACGCTCCTGAAAGCCGCGACAAGGGATCCGAACATCCCCAATTATCGAATAGTTAGGAACGATCGTGTCGGCGCCCCGGGCGGCGGCACACTTATATACTATAAAAAATCTCTCCATTGCGTACAGACACGCCCGCGCTCACGCATCTCGAGGCCTCCGTCTGTCAGCTGGCTTTAACCGGCCACTCTCCTATCACCATAGCATCAGTTTACCTCCCTTGTAGACCAACCGCATTAATATTGCAATCAGATTTTGAGGCCCTCTTTTCTATAGGAGGAGCCACCATCCTAGCTGGCGACTTCAACAGCAAGCACACCCGATGGAACTCGACACGTACCAACAGTCGAGGCACCGCACTCGACTCGCTATCCGACAGGCTCGACTTTGAAGTCGCTGCCCCCGTCGAACATACGCGCTTTCCATACGTAGAGGGACACACATCGGATGTGCTTGACATTGCACTCATCAAAAACATCAGTCTCTCCCTATGCGAACCGGAAGTGATACACGAGCTTCACTCCGATCACCGACCAGTTCTCCTCCGGCTAGGGCCTTCAGCAACAGCCGCTCCCTTAACCAAAACCGTCATCAGCTGGCATAAAATCCGATCTAAATTTAACGAACCTAATCCTCCACAACTAGAGTCAATCCCTAGAGAATTAAATACCAAACAGGACACGGAAACCGCAATTCGAGCCCTCACAAGCCACGTCAACACCGTCGTCGAGCAATGCTCGAGACAGGTTCCAGCGATGGAAGACCATCGCTGGGCCCTGCCAGACGATGTGCGAGACTTGCTGAGACGCAAGAATGCGGCTACCCGAGCCTATGATAGATATCCCACCGACTCGAATCGTAGACTGCTACGTAAATTGCAGCGTGAGGTCAAAACACGCATAGCAGACTCACGAAACGAACGTTGGGATTCTACCCTAGCTTCAGTAAAACCATCCCATGTAGCCTTCTGGAAACTTCCCAAATCCCTCAAGGGTAACGGCATAACAACCATGCCGCCACTAGTCCGTCCGATAGGTACGCCAGCAATGCTGGACGAAGAGAAGGCCGAATGCCTGGCTGACAGCCTAGAGTCTCAATGCTCCCCCAGTCTGCTTCCGATCGACCCCGAACACCTCCGCAAGGTGAACGAAGGTAGAGTGAAAGGAAAGCCTTAGAGCCACTTCGCGATCCCGTTCCCCCAGTCACGTGCTCCGAACTAATAGACACCATCAATAAACTATGCCCGCGTAAAGCACCAGGCTCAGATGGTATCACCAATAAGGTGACCAAGCTCCTCCCTACTAGCATCCTTCAGATACTAGTATTAATTTACAACGCGGCCTTAACCGAAGGCTTCTTCCCATCCGAGTGGAAGGAAGCCGATGTCATAGGGTTCCTCAAACCCTCTAAACCCGCCACTCTCCCAACCTCATATCGTCCAATAAGTCTTCTCAAAACATTTGGGAAGATCTTTGAAAGACTAATATTAGCCCGCTTAAGATCCCTTATGGACACCAAAGGGCTCCCCATCCCAGAGCAGTTTGGATTTAGAGCCAAACACTCATGTACCCATCAAGTGCACCGCATCACGGAGCACATTTTAACTAAACGTCAACGTGGACTCAACACCGGTGCGCTCTTCCTGGACGTGGCAAAAGCGTTCGACAAAGTCTGGCACAACGGGCTCGTATACAAGCTATACGGGTACGGAGTGTCCGACCGTCTCGTATGCATAATACGAGACTTCCTAAGTAATCGAACCTTTCGCTATCGCGTCGAGGGCGTGTGTTCGACTACGCATCCCGTTCGAGCCGGGGTGCCCCAAGGGTCGGTGTTGGGACCAGTCTTGTTCACTCTCTACACCAATGACATGCCGCGTGTCAAAGATGTAGAACTTGCTCTTTTTGCCGACGACACCTGTATTTATACCACAGGCAGAACACCCGAATTGATCCATCGACGCCTCCAAGCTGCGGCCATCACCATCGGTGACTGGTTTCGGCAATGGAGGATCGAAATCAATCCCGCAAAAACCGCGGCAGTCCTTTTCGCGCACAAAAAGAACATACCCATTCCTCCCCCCGTCAAACTCTTGGACAGCCCAGTACCATGGGTTAATAAAGTCAAATATCTAGGCGTCGTCCTCGACTCCCAGCTTAAATTCACCCAGCACGTGACCCAGGTCAGGAACCGGGCGGCCTTCGTACTCGGTCGCCTCTACCCGCTCCTCAATAAAACGTCAAAAATGTCCCTTCGGAACAAGGTGACCTTATATAAGGCAGTAGTTCGCCCTATCATGACGTACGCGAGCCCCGTCTTCGCTCACATTGCTCCGAAGCAAATACACCGGCTTCAGGTGATTCAAAATCGATTCTTGCGCAGAGCCACGGGAGCACCCTGGTTCATGCGCAATATCGACCTAAATGTCGACCTAGAATTGCCCACCATCGCGCAATTCCTGAAGTCGGCGTCGCGCCGATATTTCGATTCCGCCGCCGCGCATCCCAACCCACTTATCGTAGGTGCCGTCACCTACAGGCCCTTGCCGCTAAACATTTTCCGCCGCGATTACCGAAGACCGCGTCACGTTCTCGACTTCCCTGACGATGAGACGACTATCGCCATCGAAAGGATCAAAAAACTCAAGAAACACACCAAAACACACCGCACTCGCCGGCGAGTGCGGCAAACATATACTAGGTTCCGCCACGTACCTGGCAGGTTTTCCCCTATTAATGATAGAAGCGTTGCTGGAGTTTCTTCCGCCACTTCTTCTCCCAGCGCCAACGCTCTCCGAAGTGGTAGTAATGTTAGCTCTAGTAATTCCCCCAGTCAGATAATAGCTACCGATCGAGCCGAGGTCCGGCCCTCTCGGGCACCCTCGAATCGGAATGCTAAACGCGTGCTGAGTGACAGCCCAAGCCGAGGTCCCCTCTCGGGGACCCTTGAGCCTGATCACTCCATGGAGCGCCCGCCAAAGCGCCCTAAGAGCTTGGCGGCCTCCCAAACCGGTAACAATAATAGCGTGACGGCCCGAGCCGAGGGCTCCCGGGGGAGCCTCGGCTCGGCTTAGTCACCATAACGCGTAATAATAGTACGCCGAGGTTCAGGCTAGGCGCCTCGTGCGCCAGGCCACCTCAAGTCCGTCGGATCTGTGAAGGAAGGCCCCTAAGGCCAACAGTGGCTCATCCAGCCAAAAAAAAAAAAAAAAAAAAAAAAACCAGTACAAAATTTTTCTTACTTAAATGCCACAATGAATAGAAATAATTTATTCAAAACCTATCAATTACAAAATTATGTCAAAAGACAGGTTTTATTAATTGTAAGGCTTTTTTATTCTACTCGACTAGTGAATATGTTAGCCCGAATTTAACAACAGCTTTATTATGTATTGCATTTATAAACTCACATTCTAAAACGGCGAAAACAAAAGTCATCGTTTTAAGCCTTTGATGAAGCTTCGAATGATATATGTTTATATGTAAACTGGGTTCATGAGTTATTATGAATTGAATATTTAGAACCTGCAGAGTCGTGATACAATTTGATGACGGATAAACAAACTAAAAGAGGCATTAGAGCAACGTTCGCTAACTGTCTTTAACGGTTCGTTAATATGTATAACATGACAAATAAACCAACATTGTATGGTCCAATTGAGCCTAAGGCTGTTAGAATGCCAAGCGTATCTGAGGAGCGCTCACATTATAGACCTCATTAGGCCTAGTTAGAGTATAGTTTTACTAAGGTCTGGCGGTCAAGGGTACCCAGTTGATGACAGTTATTGATGGAGAGGACTTATGAGATTAAATTTATCGATCAACGGCGCGAGACAAGGCTTTTTCATCCATTCGCCCAAGGGAGATCACTGAAGGGAGTGATCGAT